CGGGAGCGCCACCACGCTCCCAAGCGGCACACTGTAGCAGTGCGCCACCGGGCCGGCCCTCCATGAACTTTTTGAAGATCCCTTGTATGTAGTGCTCACAGAACAGCAGCCGGCACATAGTAATGCAGCTATTATTCTTCTTCTTATGTCATTTAATCTGACTTTGGTTTTCATGACACCATGTGATTGGTGCTACTGTAATTCCATTTTCCAATAAAGGAAACTGAGACTCAGAGACCTTAGAGTAGTAATAGCCAACCCTTGTCAAAGGCCTACTACATGCATGTGCTAGGCTTGGTGTAAGCACTTGCCACATGTCATTCATTTGGTTTCATACAGAGGAAGAAACGCAGGCTCAGAATGGCTAATGTGCAAGTGAATTCCCTGGGGCTTGTTAAAATGCAGATTCCGATTCAGCAGGCCTGGGGTGGGGCCTGACAGTCTCAGTTTCTGGGATGCTCCCACGAGCATCTGGGATGATGGCCATGGTGCTGGTCCATGGACCAACCTGGAGTGGGGCGGGATTAACTCAGGTGCCTCAGGTTAGATGCTGGTGAGAGGTAGGGCCGGGATTGAAACTCAAGTACTCAAACCCAAAATCCGTTACCTTTCCTGTCTTATAGGCTGCACATACCTATTTCATAAGGGTGATAATATTTCTTGGCTCCTTAGTGGGCAGTGGCTCTTAGTGCTTTCTGTCATAAATTTGCCTTGCCTAGCAGACAGTTGTTAGTCAGCCAAACCATCAGCATTATCATAACAGCCGTAATTTATAAAGTCCACCAGTACCAGGACTCTTCTAGGGGTTTTACATGTGTTTTCTCCAGTCTTCCAACGCCTCTGTGAGGTGGGTTCTATTATGAGTCTCTTTTTGCAGATGGGGAAATTGAGTGACTTGGCAGGTTCCACCAATGCCCTAGTAATCACAAGGTCAAGGTTAGTACCAGGTCTTCCTGGTGCCAAGACCTCTGATCCATGGAGTGCACCTCACTTCCTCTTAGGCTCTGCAAATGACTGTCAGACCATTGCTAATTATCATCGTCATCAGCATCCTTTCCTAGTTGTTAATATCGGCAAGGTGATACCTCCTTTTTCAACAGGCGAGCTCGTCATTCAGTCTTCTGAGGTTAATCCTTTTTTAATGGTGGCAAGATATACGTAACATAAAACGTACTGTTTTTAGGTGTACAGTTCAGTGTCCTTAAGCATATTCACATAGTTGTACAACCATGACTGCCATCCATCTCCAGAGTGTTTTCATCTTCCCCAGCTGAAACTCTGTATCCATTAAACCCTAATTCCCCATCCCCCTCCTTCCAGCCTTGGCAACCACCATTCCACTTTCTGTCTCTATGAATTTGACCTCTCTAGGGACCTCATATAAATGGAATCATAATATGTGTCCTTTTGTGTCTGGCCTATTTCACTTTGCATAATGTCTTCAAGGTTCATCTGTGTTGTAGTGAGTTTAATCCTTTTGAAATGCGAAAACTCACTTCCTAATTTATTTTTCTACCTCTGATTTTCATCTAGCAGGACACACTTCTAGAAAGGCTTGATAACAATAAAAACTCCAAAAATTAAAGACATGAGCCTTGATTTCCCAGATTTCTTTTGAGTCAAGGCTGAACTGAATAGCACAGTGCAGGGACAGAGAGTGGTTCTGAACAGGGCAAGGGGACTGCCCAGCACCAACAAAAGTGCCACCGGGGTGCCTTACAGAACTTGATTTCCCAGATTTCTTTTGAGTCAAGGCTGAACTGAATAGCACAGTGCAGGGACAGAGGGTGGTTCTGAACAGGTCAAGGGGACTGCCCAGCACCAACAAAAGTGCCACCGGGGTGCCTTACAGAACAAAGGGCAGGATTTGCATCTCTTGGGAATCTTTCAGGTTGAAACCAATTCTGGGATGTGATTATTTTTTTTTTCCTTATGTTTAAAATCAGTATTTCCCAAATTTCAGTTTTTATTTCATTTTTTTTTTTTTTGGTAGATTTTTGCCTTAGTATCCTCTCTGCTGTCTAACTTCACATTTTTATTTAGTTCAGGTCACTTCTTAATGTGATATTTATTTGAAAAAGAAGCCCTAAATAATGATCTTAAATGAAAAATCATTGTCAGTTGCCATGAATAGAACATAAGCTTAAAAGTAAATATAATGGAAACCAAATTGCATTATTAACTTCTAGTTTGATGTTGGTAGCTGGCGCAGGCTGTGAGCCGGAGGCCTGCTCTCTCTGATAAAAGTGGAGGTGCCAAAGACACACCAGTGCCCAACTGAGACCTTCTCCTTGACTTAATCTGAAGGACTGAAAGAAAGTCCAGAAAGGAATGTATTTTTCATTTTGTGATTCAGTTATTTAATTCTGTGACTGTTTGTCACCTAAGACTTCTCTGTTTCTTCACTGTTGAGAGTCCCTGGTGTTGGGGTAAACTCTGCTTCAAGTATCATGAAGTTAATTATCTGGATTTAAAGGTGGGAAACTCCAACTCTGTGCCCATTACTGTTGTCAACATTTTATGTACTTTATATCGTTTAATCTTCATCATGACACTGTAGGGCAGATACTCTTCCTATCCCCATTTTACAGATGAGAAAACTGAGGCTTCTGAGAGGTTTCATAACCAGTGGCCATTTTCTCTCATATGTTATATATTATAGTTGATATTAGCTCTACATAGCATTAAATCTTAGAGCTGAAGCCCAAGTCTGAAAGGCTCAAGGTTTGAGACCTCTGTGTGTGTGTGTGTATGCGTTGATTAATACTGCTTTCCTGTTGAAGTGCCAAGAACATGGGCTAATCTAGGTTTCTATTAATCTTGTGTCAGCGGCAATGACAGTTTTACTGGGAGAGGCTGATAAACATCGGTCTGTGAGGGTGGGAGTGGGCCGTAACATAAACACACTTCTCCAGAATGGCTTCAAAGCAAGTGAGGATGTCCCAGACTTGGAAAACCACCCCTGTGTGTGTGTGCACAGTGGTGCCTCTCACGCACATGTGTATCTGGAAGCTCAGACAGTGCCCCAGACGCCACAGGCTCTGACTCGCAGGAAGGGAACGTATTTTGCTGTGCTGTGTCAGCTGTGCCTTATCTGTGGCCGGAGAGAGGACGAAGCCTCGGAACATCTCAGGATGGTCCAGGGCTGCAGCCATTCCATTCCTCTTCTGATTGACGGGGCACACTTCATAAAGCTTCCAGCCAGCTTCCTGCAGGCGAGTCAGGGGCCTTGATAAGAAAGTGGAATTCAGGGCAATTAAGTGCCATCTGAGTCTCAAGAATGCATTTTCTGAGAGCGGTTGTACACCAGCCACTTTCCGTGACATTCTCTTCATTCAGGGACAACTTTTACGAAATAGCCAATTCCAGGGGCTGCGTTCCTAGCAGGGCCTCACTGGTGTTCAGGGTGGGCTGCTCTCTGGGCACATGTGTTGCCCAGTCTCTATATAAGCCTCAAATGGAAATCAGCTTGGGCGGTGGCAGAAACCCACAGGGGCTCAGCTTGCAAGGCTGGCTTCCACTGGAGTGAAACATGCAGATTCCCCAGGGGCAGTGTGCACAGTGGTTTGAAGCTTTAGAGACACGGGTTTACACTGCTGCTCACTAGTTGCATCTCCTTAGATAAATAACCTCATCTCCTTGACCCTCAGCTTCCTCATCTGTTAAATATTGGTTTTTATAAATTGTGGTAGCATATTCATAACATAAAATTGACCATTTTAACCATTTTTAGGTGTACAGTTCAGTGACATAAAGTACATTCATTGTTGTGGAAATGGGGTTTTTGATAGGATCAGAGAACATAAAGCACTTAGAACAGTGCCTGATAATTGGAAGTTGTTAAGAAGTGGTAACTATGTTTATTCTTATTATTTTGCATTATCTATTAATTATCTTGCGCTTTTCAAAATATATTGCCTGTTCTAGTGAAAGCGTTTCTTGGGTGGGGGCAGGTGCTCCGGAGTGGATGATACAAAGATAGTGAAAGATGTGGGACCTGCTAACTGCTTCAGGGGACTCAGCTTGGTCGGGAAGGCAAATACACATGTATGTGTATAAAGTATATACATGTACATGTACACACACACACATATACATTTATATGTAAAAGTGCTTCCATAAAGGAAGATAAAAAAAACACTTCAAGAAACCAAAGGAGAGGAGAATGATTCCAAGGTGCGTGCAATACAACAGAAGCAAGATTATGTACAACATTTGCCTGGAACTTGAAGGTTATCAAGCACTGTTGCACTAATGGTCTCATCTTGTTTGATTTATTATTATTAGTAGTAGTCTCATGATAATACTGTGAGCTAGAACAGGGTAGGGATCATGAAGTCCCATTTTCTGGTGGGTAAACTGAGGCTCAGGGTTGCCATGTGACCATTTGTTGCAGACAAATGGCTAGTGGCAGAGTTTGGGCTGGAATACAGTGACTCAAAATACCCAGTGGTCTGAGTCCGTTTCATCTCGGGTCACAAGGCAGGCAAAATATAGTTCTCGTCAGAGTATGGGTGGATGTGAAAGTGGTAGTGTCAGTTGCATAGATCAGGGTTTTCCACAATGTGATACGCACACCACTGTGGGTGCAGCGTGATCTGGTGTAGGCTACAGAGGGACAATTTTTAAATTAATAGTTACACACCTTAATGTTCATCAGAAACATCGAGCAGTGATTTTTTGGATGCTATTTCTCAGGGCAAGTCCAAATTGAAGTTCAGATAGAGAGTCCATGTAAAGAGTAATTTTAAGTAATAGTAATATGGAGATATGGCAGAACTCATGATGGATACCAAGGACCGCAGTTGGGAAACACTGGCCTAGTTGTGTTGAGTGGTCCTTTTATGAAGTCTCAGGACTGGAGAGACAATGGCAATCCAGCTGGCACCTGGGCGCCCTCAACCACTCTATGTGCTGTGTACCGTGAATTGATCCAATGCAGACACTGTCTGAAATGCTAACAAGTCTCCCTGGGTCTTGCTTCTCTTTGCAGATTGCTGACTTTGGGCTTTCCAACCTGTACCAGAAGGACAAGTTCTTGCAAACGTTTTGCGGGAGCCCACTCTACGCGTCTCCTGAAATTGTCAATGGGAGACCTTACCGAGGGCCAGAGGTGAGCAGGTTGCCTAGTGTGTATTAGAGGGGAGATGGCAGGAGAAAAGAGAGGGGGGCAAGAACTGGATCTGGGAAACTCTTAAGAAACAAAACTCCCAAAAGCAAGCAAAAAAACTTTTCCTTATATGATTATAAAAGCACTAATATATACACCTGGGAGAAAATTTGGAAAATCCAGAAAAGTGTAAAGGAGAAAATAAAGTTACCTACAATCCCCCACTGAGAGATAATCACTTAATATTTTTGTGACTTTTCTTTTAGACTTTTTCCAATGCAGATCTTTGCAATTTCAAAAATAATTGAGATCTCAAAAATAATTGCAATCACCTTAAAAATAATTGATATCAAGTAAATAAAAGACAAGATATACATATGTACATGACATTATGACATTTTATGAATTCACTATTATTAAAAATAAGATTTTTAATGACAAACATTGTTTTATTGTATGCATATATCATTATTTATTTAATAATGTCCCTAGATTTGGACATTCAGTTTTTCCCTATTATATCAAAACAGACAAAACAAGAAAACAAACAAACAAAAGAACCTTGACTCTGCAGTCAATATCTTTTCACATATATGTTTGATAGCATGTATGTTTGACTAAGGAAATACATTTTAATTGCATCTTCTAATTTATGAGAAATGTATTTCTCTACGTGCCTAAAGCTTTCAGGGCCACTGCAGGATATGTGAAAATGAAATTTTGAAAATGGGTGAGTTGGGAGTGATTATTCTCTTTTAAAAAGATGGTTCTCTTTACAGAGAGATTCATCCACTCAGTATCCTTTAAATAGCAGCTGCTCAGTGTGTTGAAATCTTTTCTTCCAAGTATTTATCTGTTTGAGAGTGTTTAGGAGCAGGGTTGGAGGGTGAGAGTAGGATGCCAAGAGCCTCTACCAATTTTGGTGATGAGGAAGTCTTTTTAAAATACGTAAGGCAGGAGCATAGGATTCAATTGACAAAATTGTGGGAATTCAACATTGTAAATTTATTGTAAACAATGAATGCTGCTTTGATCTTTGATGACCTATCGCCGCCTGCAGTCTGGCCAGCCAAAGAGGCTTTATTTGGCCACATGAGTCATCATAAGAAAAAAAATGAACAAACGTTTAGTAATTGGGAGATTTCACATAACTTCTCTTGAAAAACGAAAAGATCCAGTAGTGTTGGGCCTGCGTTACTGCATGGCAGCAATTAGTCAAGGAGAGCCTGCCTGCCCCAGATGGGCCAATGTATTACATTTTGTGTCCATCCCCAACACGCCGCGTTGTACCCCAAATTCTTTCCTGCTTTGTATTGTCTGCCTGGCTCTCGTAAGCATTTGAGTTTCCAACCCTTGATCCATTTGGAGAAGATGCGGGAAGGAATTTATTCCTGGATTAGGAATGGAGAGCCCACATCCCAGTCTTACCTCCATCACTGGGGCAGGGCCTCTGGAGGAACCATTTAGCTTCAGTGTGCCTCAGTATCCTCATCTGTCAAATGGAGCTGAAAATAATGCAGGCCACACCAGCTTCGCAAAATTATACTGAAGATCAAAGAAGACAATCTATTGAAGTTCTTAAATAGGTTGGGACTGTTGGCCTCTGTTCAAAATGGAAAGGTCAGACTCTGTAGCAGGCCCAGCTGCACTGCTATCAGTTGTCAGGCTATGGTGGGAACCTGTCTGCCAGGTGCTAAATTCAGCTCCTGGTGTCACTGGGGGTGGCTGCTCACATGCTGTGATGCTACTGGTTTGGAAGGCATCCCGGGAATCTGCTTCCCTGCTCCTATATGTCCCGTCTCATCTCTCTGCTCCAGGTGGACAGCTGGGCCCTGGGCGTGTTGCTTTACACTCTCATTTATGGAACAATGCCCTTCGATGGTTTCGATCACAAAAACCTCATTCGGCAGATCAGCAGTGGAGAGTACCGGGAGCCCACGCAGCCCTCAGGTGCGTGCCCTGTGGAGGTCAGAGGTCCAGGGGAGAGTGATTGGCTTACACTACACACACTTTCTGCTTTTCTTCTAATATGTCTGTAAAGAGTCTCCTGCTTTTTCTATTTCTTCTTTCCAGAAAAGTCATCCCTAGCAAAGCAGGCTTGTTAGGCTATTTTATCCAAAGCTTCCCAAATAAAATTGTCAGGCTAGGAGTCCTGTTTGTTTTCTGTGCCAACCTGAGCAAGTCAGTTAACCTCTTTGGATGCAGTTTTGCCACTATAAATTAAACTTTTGGAAAAGGTATATGTGAAGTCCCTTCCAGCTCATGTACACATATAAACCACTCTCCCTAGACTGTAAGTGTTGTGAGGCTGGCACCTACTCTTCCACTTCTGTGTCCCTGGCCAGGGGTATGACTCCTGGGCACTGTTCCTTTATCGATTGTTGCATAATAACTCTATCCCATCCCACCAAAAGCAAACTGAGCAGTTTAAACAACCATGTACCCATGCCTCTCAATTCTGCAGTTTGGAAGGGCTCTTCTGGCCTTGGTTTCTCCTATAGTTGCCATCAGACTGCAGCTGGGTCTGCTGCTGGGACTGAACGTGGGACATCCCAGTGCTCTTCTGTGTGGGCTCTCTCTGTGGGGTGCCTCCACAAGGCCTCTCTTTCCAGGAGGGAGCCTGAGCTTCTTTCACGGCAGCTCAGGGCTCTAAAAAGGAGGAAGAAGCAGCTGCCAGGCTTTCATAATGTCTCTGCGTGGAAACCCAATACAGTCACTTGTGCCATGTTCTATAGGTCAAAGCAGCCCAGGTCAGAAGCTCTGTCTCTTGATGGGAGTTCACGGCAGCTCAGGGCTCTAAAAAGGAGGAAGAAGCAGCTGCCAGGCTTTCATAATGTCTGTGCGTGGAAACCCAATACAGTCACTTGTGCCATGTTCTATAGGTCAAAGCAGCCCAGGTCAGAAGCTCTGTCTCTTGATGGGAGAGCATCATGCCTGCACAGAGAGAGTGTGCACAGGTGGCTAGCTTTGGTCATCTTTGTCAACAAATGAAGTTAACGCAGGGACGTCATTTATATACATACTATATATATGTTGTATGTGAGGGGACTTCAGAAAGTTTGTGGAAAAACAGGATGGAAAGATAATATGGATCTTTCCACAGACTTTTTCCACACACACATACACATGTACACACACAGCTGATTCTCATTATTTGCAGTAGATATTTTCCAAAAGGTTGCTGTGAACCCTAAATTAGTGAATACTGAACCATTGCTCCTGGGGAAATCTACAGTTTAGATTTCTGCTGGCCTCTGCTCACAATATTTTTGTCAACCAGTCGATACATAGTCTTGATTTATGTATATGTCTGTTTAAAGATGTCTTATTTAATATATATTATTGATTCTAATATATATTGTTGATTCATTAACATCAAACTCAATGACTAACAGCACTATAGTTTATGCCTGAACGAAGCTTCTCTAACACCCCTATTTTTGTAAGGCACATCACAGCCTTCTTACACTTAGGGACACTGGACAGCCCTTCAGCACTGTGTTTGGGGGCCATGTTAAATAGTGGAATCACCAAGAAAAGTACAACAGTGTGAAAATAATGTCATTAAATAGTCTGAGAGAAGGACACTTTACAGCATCACACCTGAAACATGAGGCGAGAATGTGGCCTTATTCAACCTCAGCTGCCAACACATGCACGTGTTGGGGAGACCCAAGGTTTTCACTGCCCTGTGCATGTATGAAATAACTGCGAAATAGCTGTGAGAATAGATTTTGGGGCTATAAATTTTAGCAGGTGGGCAAATTTTCAAATATAGAATCTGTAGATAATGAGGATGGATTGTGTGTGTGTGTGTGTGTGTGTGTGTGTGCACGCATCTATTTTTTTCAATAAGCCAGCCTGTTCTTTTTGGGAAATTTCAGGGTGACCTAGTGTCCTTATTTATACCTCACCAGCTAACTGGTGCCAATGCAATTCCTGGCACATTGCAGGGGTTCAGGAAATATTTATCGAATGACTGAATGAGTGAGCAACCTATTACTTTTCAGGGGGGCAGCTCATCCCAGCCCCCATTGCCAGGCCTTTGCCAGCTACTCATTAGCCTACATAAGCAGCTGGGGGAAGGCATCAGCTTCCCAGGTTATAATTCAACCCTAGCTGGGGGAATACAGTTTGATCTTAAAAGTCGGTTTATCAGCTGTGAGAACCAGTTGGTTCTTGTGTCCTCCCCAACATCCCTTTGGGGCTTTCCCTTAATTCTCTGGCAGTAGAAATGTGCAAGTGGGATTTTCCAGGCAGGCTGTGAACAGGGAGCAGATACAGATCAGCAGTCTGATCCGACAGCTCAGTAGGACATGGATGATGTCAGAGAGGGAAAGCAGGTGTGTTTACTGGGCGTGGGTCTCAAAACCCGGCAAGACCAGGGGTGAGGCCGCTTTCACTGCCCAGGTGTGTCAGGTGAGTGCCTCTGAGCTTCTCCATCCTCTTGTCTCCAGCACATTTTCCCAGTGACCGTGAGCACTGCATGTTCATGCAACCCACCTTTGGAGGAATAAAGAAAGCCGTGGTGATCTACACCTGTTTTCCCTTTTGGTAAAATCATATCCACCAAAGGATTGGGTCTGGATTCTTTCCCGATTCCATGGCCTTTTGCATTTTAGAAACACCTGAGATGATGGAGAGCTCAGTTGTTCCATGACATTCCTTCCCTCATAGGGAAAGATTTGACAGGATGGTGCACTGGCCAGTGGCTCTGAATCTTAATTATGCTTCTGATGTACAGTCTTAAGGGCATTGGCTTGCTGCTCCACAGTGTGGCTGGACCAGGGCTACAAATGGATATGACATTCCTTTCCTCATAGGGAAAGATTTGACAGGATGGTGCACTGGCCAGTGGCTCTGAGTCTTAATTATGCTTCTGATGTACAGTCTTAAGGGCATTGGCTTGCTGCTCCACAGTGTGGCTGGACCAGGGCTACAAATGGAGTTTTCTTAATGTGAGTGTGTCTCTTCAGCCACTCCTGGAGGGCCACCCCTGTCATGAAGCCAAAAGCTCCCATGTAATGCCTGATTCCTTTTGTCTCTTGCCCCCTAGATGCTCGAGGACTCATTCGGTGGATGCTGATGGTGAACCCTGATCGCCGGGCCACCATCGAGGACATTGCCAACCACTGGTGGGTGAACTGGGGCTACAAGAGCAGCGTCTGTGACTGCGATGCCCTTCACGACTCCGAGTCCCCGCTGTTGGCACGGATCATTGACTGGCACCACCGTTCCACTGGGCTGCAGGCTGAGGCCGAAGCCAAAATTAAGGGCCTGGCCAAACCCGGGGCCTCTGAGGTCATGCTGGAGCGACAGCGGTCGCTGAAGAAGTCCAAGAAAGAGAATGACTTTGCCCAGTCTGGCCAGGACTCAGTGCCGGAAAGCCCATCCAAGTTAAGTTCCAAGAGGCCCAAGGGGATCCTGAAGAAACGAAGTAACAGTGAACATCGCTCTCACAGCACTGGCTTCATTGAAGGCGTCGTGGGTCCTGCCTTACCATCTGCTTTCAAGATGGACCAGGACTTGTGCCGGACTGGTGTGCCCCTCCCGAGCTCCCCTGATGCAGAGGTGCCGGTAAAACTCAGTCCCAAACAGTCGGCCACCATGCCCAAGAAAGGCATCTTGAAAAAGACCCAGCAGAGAGAATCGGGTTACTACTCGTCCCCAGAACGCAGTGAGTCTTCCGAGCTGTTGGACAGTAATGACGGGGTGGGCAGCAGCATCCCTTCCCCCAGCCCCCCAGACCCAGCCCGGGTGACCTCCCTCAGCCTCTCCTGCCGGAGGAAGGGCATCTTGAAACACAGCGGCAAGTACTCAGCGGGCACCATGGACCCGGTCCTCGTCAGCCCCGAGATGCCCACACTGGGATCCTTGTCGGAGCCCGGTGTCCCCACTGAGGGCCTCTCCCGGAGCTATAGCCGTCCTTCCAGCGTCATCAGCGATGACAGCATCCTGTCCAGCGACTCCTTCGACTTGCTGGATTTGCAGGAGAATCGCCCTGCCCGCCAGCGCATCCGCAGCTGCGTCTCTGCCGAAAACTTCCTCCAGATCCAGGACTTTGAGGGGCTCCAGAACCGGCCCCGGCCCCAGTACCTGAAACGGTACCGGAACCGGCTGGCAGACAGCAGCTTCTCCCTCCTCACGGACATGGATGACGTGACTCAGGTGTACAAGAAAGCGCTGGAGATCTGCAGCAAGCTCAACTAGCGTCTGGAGCGCAGGGGTGGGGCGGGCGGGCACCAGGGAGGAAGGGGAGCAAGAATCATGCCGACAGGCTGGTTACCTCTTTGCTGGCCATGAGGATAGACTGAAAAAGGATTGGTGCCATCTCGCTTGGCCAATTTTGCAGCCTTGAGCCAGCGCCTAAAAGGGAGAAGGGGCTCTCTGCCAGTTCTACTGCCAGTCAGAATTTGGGTCCTAATTGGCATTTGCTTATGGCACCTCCTAGAGGACCACCTGTCTAGGAGGGTGGTGTTGGCCAGCACTTAGTGGGGGGAGGAAACATATGGGAGAGGAAGCATTTCCCTAGATGTTATCCAAGTGCTTCTGGGGGAGGGGTGAGAGTGGCTGCGGCCATCTGCTTTGGGTGGGTCCCAGGAGCTTGCTCCTTTTCTCCTCACATTAGCAAGCTTGGCCTGACTGCATGGAGCTGGCAAGTAGATGTCAGCAACCTGAGGTTGCATCGATGCTCAATTGATAGTGCCTGCTGGGTGTCCTGGTGTGAGTAGCCCGGGCATGTCAGGAAGGAGTGCTGTGATTGAATAGTAATGTCTGCCATGGGAATGGGAAGGGAGGGCATAGCCCTCATGCCAGGTCATCTTTGACCTGGCTAAGCCCTGGGAATCAGGTTAAGGCATCCTGTGGGATCTACATTTGTGCCACTGGTGTGGCATTTGTCAGTTTGCTACCCTATCTTGAATGAAAGACAGGGCCTTGGTCAGAGAGAGAATGCACTGAACCCTGCTGAGGACATAGGGTCAGCCCATGGTGACATTTTGGCTCCTTGCTGTCCGCCTCCTCTTTCTTCATGTCCACCATGCTCTTTAGCACAACCTCCTGAGGGTGGACAAAGCAAAGGACGGTGGTGTCAGAGGTCGAAACTGTTGTGTGTGACAGAGCACAGAGCACAAGACCTTCTGTGGTCTTTGCACAGATGGCTGGAGGTTGATGCACAATGGCAAGGGGCAACTTGTCACTTTCTTTAATGTTTCAATATTAACTGGAATGCTGCCTCTTGGGTTCTCACCTGCATGAAGGCTTGAATTGGATGTGATACTGTCCATAATCTCCAAACCATTGCCTGTCTCAGCCATCAGCCCCATTCACTAAGAGCAAATGGGTTCCCCGTCCGCCTAGTGTAGAATCCTCAGAGGTAGATGAGTTTGCCTCTAGGGAGTTAGTGTGTAGGGGGGATATCTGGATGAGGAAAGACAGGCAGAAGTTGCCTTCTCCCCAAATATAAGTGTTCTTTTTCATGGTTTTGACTTTGACATGAACTCCTGGGCTTTGGGGAAAAGGAAAGTTCCATTCATTTAAATGACTAAGTTTGAAAGAGCTGAGTGGGTTGGGGAGAAGCTTCTAAGAGAGGGGACATTTCCTTAGAAGTCATGCAGGCGGTTCTGGAGAAGGCAGAAAAGAGATGTGTCAGGACTCTTATCTTAAAAATGCAAAGAACTAGGTGTGTAATTTCTAAACACTCATATTACAGGTGGCAAGATGTCACTCCCACATGGGATATCTTCAGGATACTGGGCTTGGAATTAATGGTGTCTTTGGGATGACTTCTGATTCTACTGTCCCGGGCAAATCAAAATCCTTATTTCAAGATGGTTGACCTCTCATAGGCATGTCGAGAGATTGGAGGACTGGTTTTGGGGATATCTTTGGAAAAACCAACAAGCAGTAGTCCATAGGGAGATGAGAAAGAATTCATCTTACAGCACTGGGTTAATTAGAACGAGATTGCCCTTTCCTCAAGGAGGAGATTCTATTTCTCCCCATGCAGCCAGCACTGCTGATTTGGCTTGAGTGTTCCTTCAGGTGGAGCTGAGCAATGGTTTATGGGAGCTGCCCAGTTTCCTTTCATTCAATTCCACCTCCTTCCTGAACTCCAACAGAGGTGAAAAGGGAAAAAAATCTGCAGATAGCAAATTGTGTGTGGGGGTGCACAGAGAGCAGCTGGCAGCCTCTGTACCCCCAACTTCCTGCCTCATTTTGTGCAGCCTTTTCTGAGCAGCCTATACTGCCACACTGCTGGCCCCTCACGCATGGCAGCTGGCCACGTTGGTAGCTGTCAGGACGTATAACGCCCACCTATTGGTTGATGTTTTTTCCTTTTGCCAGGTGATTATGTCTGTTTGGTATTTTCCATCATTCTAATCTTTAAGTAAAAGTGAAACTATTAAGGAAAATTATTCTACTCCCTTCTCTCTCCCTAAAAACATCTGTCTGTCCTCTTTTTGTCAACAAACTCAGACAGTGGATTGTGGCAAAGAAAGTCCTCCACTCAGAGGCTGATACTCAGTTGAGTCCCAGTCTGCTGTGAAGTCGCTGGTGGTCTTAGGCACCTGAAGTGTTTTCAGGGCTAAGTTTTCCTTTCATTGAGCGCTGGAGAGGTAGATTAGCAGGTCTCTCAGGCTCTGCTCAGTTCCGACATTCTGCTGACATCCTCTGGTTCTAGATCTGATGTTGACTGTCCTTTCAAGGAAAAACTTGGAATAGAAGGAAAGGCCCTTTCACAGCAGCAACCTCTGCTTCCTGATTAAGTCCTGTCATCCGTACCAGCCAATCCCCTGCCAAGGAAGTTACGTTTGATTCATTTCCATGGAATTACAAGTGAGAGACACTTTTATGACCTGGTGGACAGAGCAGGAGATTCTATGTCGGCTCTCCTGGTCCTTTCCTTGCCCCTGTGGGCCTTTCAGCGTCTCAGTTTACACATCTGCCAAAGGGGTAGAATTATACTTCTTTTTACAGGTAAATTTCAAGGCACGATCAGTTTTCAGGAAGTGCTTCAAGACCCCAGGCGAAATGAAAATGCTAAGTACCCTCTGAATTTCCATCCCTGTTACCAGGTGCTGCTTCTTCAAATGTGGGGAGCACTTTTCAGGGTGAAATTCAGGCGAGTTTTGCCCAGGCCTACTGTCTTGAGTACAAATGTGAATGATCGACTGACTGCTTGTTGCCAAACTGGAAATGTTCTGTAGGGATTTACTGGCATGGTATCATTCCTAGAAGAAAAAAAAAAGAGAGAGAGAAACTTGACTGCACATTTTTTTTTAAATCCATGTTGTGATTTTTTATTTAATTTCTATTTTTTTTTTTGGTAATAAAAAGTTGACTTTTTTATTTGAATTTGTCTTTTTTATTTATTGGTTTGAAAGGCATTTCAAAGGTATTATAATAATATATTGGTGTAATTTAATTGGTGCAACATGCTTTATGGCTCCAGTCAAAATTGGTTTTCACTCATTTGATTGGTTTGAGCCCGTAACAGCCTACAGGGGGAGAAAAAAAAGCTGGATAACCACCCAAAGTGTTTGTATTTTCATTGGAAACTGTTTTTTGTTTCATTTTTTTGTTTGTTTCTGTTTTTATTTTTAAATTAAATAAATTGCAATGAACTGAACTGAACTGGGACCTTGCTTCTTTATTTGGTTGTTTTTCTCTTAGTCAAGTAAGTGACAGAATGGGTGTAAGCAACAGAAGCCTACCCAGCCTAGCTTAAGCAAAGAAGGGGGATTTATTCAAAGTTCTCTGAAGAGCACATGCAGCTCTCAATGCAGCTGGAACTGAGGACTGGAGAAGTGGGATCCAAGAGGACTACATACCCTCTTCTCTGCTACTCTTTGCACACCAACTTTATTATTGTAGAGCTAGGGCTGGGTCCTGGAGCTGACAGACCCCTCAAGCATGTTGTCCAGGCTGGGTCACAAACCCTTCACGTGCAGGTCTATGAGCTAGGTAACTGGAAGAAAGGTCCTTGGAGCCATGGTTGAAGAGAGAGTAGTCTTTATTTCTGCACACACATGTCTGAGAGCTAGGCAGTCCAAAGAGAAACTCAGAAACTCAACTGCTACTGGTAAAGTCCAAAGAAAAACTGAGCAGCTGCCAGCAAAGTAAACATGCTTTCTNTGGCAGCTGGCCACGTTGGTAGCTGTCAGGACGTATAACGCCCACCTATTGGTTGATGTTTTTTCCTTTTGCCAGGTGATTATGTCTGTTTGGTATTTTCCATCATTCTAATCTTTAAGTAAAAGTGAAACTATTAAGGAAAATTATTCTACTCCCTTCTCTCTCCCTAAAAACATCTGTCTGTCCTCTTTTTGTCAACAAACTCAGACAGTGGATTGTGGCAAAGAAAGTCCTCCACTCAGAGGCTGATACTCAGTTGAGTCCCAGTCTGCTGTGAAGTCGCTGGTAGTCTTAGGCACCTGAAGTGTTTTCAGGGCTAAGTTTTCCTTTCATTGAGCGCTGGAGAGGTAGATTAGCAGGTCTCTCAGGCTCTGCTCAGTTCCGACATTCTGCTGACATCCTCTGGTTCTAGATCTGATGTTGACTGTCCTTTCAAGGAAAAACTTGGAATAGAAGGAAAGGCCCTTTCACAGCAGCAACCTCTGCTTCCTGATTAAGTCCTGTCATCCGTACCAGCCAATCCCCTGCCAAGGAAGTTACGCTTGATTCATTTCCATGGAATTACAAGTGAGAGACACTTTTATGACCTGGTGGACAGAGCAGGAGATTCTATGTCGGCTCTCCTGGTCCTTTCCTTGCCCCTGTGGGCCTTTCAGCGTCTCAGTTTACACATCTGCCAAAGGGGTAGAATTATACTTCTTTTTACAGGTAAATTTCAAGGCACGATCAGTTTTCAGGAAGTGCTTCAAGACCCCAGGCGAAATGAAAATGCTAAGTACCCTCTGAATTTCCATCCCTGTTACCAGGTGCTGCTTCTTCAAATGTGGGGAGCACTTTTCAGGGTGAAATTCAGGCGAGTTTTGCCCAGGCCTACTGTCTTGAGTACAAATGTGAATGATCGACTGACTGCTTGTTGCCAAACTGGAAATGTTCTGTAGGGATTTACTGGCATGGTATCATTCCTAGAAGAAAAAAAAAGAGAGAGAGAAACTTGACTGCACATTTTTTTAAAAATCCATGTTGTGATTTTTTATTTAATTTCTATTTTTTTTTT